CAGCTGAGATCCCAGCAGAACGGAGCCTATATGTTAGTAACCACTACAGCCACAAGAGAGTCAGAGTCAGCGAGTGGTGGATTAGTACTCGTGTCTCTTACCCAGTCTCCTGTCATTGACTCCAAGACATCTGGGTCTCAGAGAGTCCAAGATGCAAGGCAGGCAGCTACCTTACAGATCATCTGGCCTAACATTCGTTGCATAGATAGAGAAAAGGAGACTCAGAGGGGACGTGAAGGTTCCTGACTGCACCACCTACCTTCTCAAGTCATCCAGGAGCTTATTCTAAGACCTCAGTTTGGCCTCATCCTATGGAAATCCAGGCTTATCTGCCTGCCCAATGGATTTGTCCCCAGATTCAGTGCCCTCTCCACCCACATTGTTGCTCTGTTTGGACCCCTCCAGATAGGCCTGATTAGGAGCTGTGATTGGAAATCTCCCCTCCTCTTTCCTGTCTCAGACTAGAGCTTCTTAGGGCACTCCCTTTGTAACTTGAGATGTCACTGTCTCTCTATTAAAATGGCTTTTCCACTCTGCCTCTCCCTTTCTCTCGCCGTTCTCCAAACCCTACCCTCTCCACCCACCACCCCCTGCCCTCCGCCATCCCTCCTCTAGATAGAGCCCCAGAACTGCTGAGATGAATCTCTGAAGCTTTGTGGTTCTGGGCTGTGTTCCTGGTAATTGAGTTGTGCTCCCAATCGTGATGGGGGAGGGTGGCAGGGGCTGCCGGTGGGTCCAGTCCTCCTTCTGCTAGCTTAGCCCCTTCCACTGTGATCTGGCAGAGACGCTGAGGAGGAGAGAGATGGGGATGCTTCCTCTTCCCCAGCCTTCCCTCTCCAGCTCTCTGTCTCCCCCTCTCCCCCTCTCCCCCTTCCTGCTTCATCTCCAGCACAAATCACATGGTGACAGCCACATCCAACCTTTGGGGAAGGGTTTGTAAATGTGTCTTCCTTAGCTGTGATCTCCAAATTGTTCCTTTTATTGCATTTGTCACGGTGAAGATTAAAGTCCCTGGGTGGCCTCCACCACAAATCACGAAGTCGGCTCAGGGAGCGGCTGCAGGTTGGGAACTGATGGAGGGGTCTGGGCCCTGTTAAGGGTGTGCATGCATGTGTATACTCACAAACACTTGATCCCATGTGTGATGAGGACTTGTAGTTAGGAATGGAAAGATGTGCTGCTGATATTTCATTCTGAGTTGTTAGCCCCCTTTATAGCACAGTTTTTGACCTCTTCCTCCAGGGTGTCTTCCAGGATCTCCCTGCCCAATCTGTGGTCGGCATCATCATCTACATTGCTCTTTCCCATCTCTTCCATCAGGTGGGAGGGAAAGTTATGGTCACATCAGAGATATTTCAGGATATCCCTCTGGCTCTCTGGTCACATTGATCTCTAGATCTCATCCTGGCAGCACTCTTTTTTTGAGACAGGGTCTCACTCTGTTGCCAGGATGGGGTGCAGTGGCACAATCTTGGCTCAATGCAGCCTCAACCTCCTAGGCTCAAGTCGCCCTCCTGCCTCAGCTCCCCCAAGTAGCTGGAACTAAAGGCATGCACCACCACGCCCAGCTAAACATCCTGGCAGCACTTTGAATGGGTCACGGGCAGTTTGGGCCCAGAGCTCCCAAGGGACTCACATCCAGACCCAAAAGAACAGCTGACCTTACCCTGTCCCAGCACCCCCGTATCCTGACTTTCTTTCTCATCCTGGGACAGAACTGGGTGCTGAGGGCGCACAGCTGACACAGAGAAAACACAGCTGAGGAACCAGGAGGACAAAAGCTCCCTTGTACACATGCACGGAAAACAGCCCCTTTCCTACCCCCTTATGAGGTGGGCTTCCTGCCTGTCCCTCATCCACATTCATAACATTCAAATTTATGCTGTAATCTCCACCGCTCCATATGTATGAGCCTTTGATGGGTGTTGGGTTTATGGGATGCACCCGGCCCTCCATTCCCTCACCCGCCCACCGCCTCCAACCACTGCAAAGACGCTCGTACATAATTGACATCGGCAGATTCTTTCATTATACAAGATTTAGCATCTGCTCGGGGATCTCGAGCTCCTCACTCACTATAGATGACTTTTCCCCGCGTTTCCTATTATCAATTCAAATTAGCCCCATTTCCCCACCCAACCAGTGCAGCGTTTACACTTGACAGTGAGGAAACAGCAAGGCTATAATGGGCTCCTCAATTATTTAGGTCCAGGTAGGACAGGACCCCGAAAGCCTCGACAAGGGGGTATGCTGGGATGGGGTCATTGTAGGGGGTAGGATAGGGAAACAACTACTTGGATCCTGTTTGGCCTTATAGCTCTCTACCCTCTCACTTTCCACCGTGGGACTCCCCCTTCCCCAAAAACACACATAGGTCTCTAAGGGACAAGACAGTCTCTTCCTGCCCCTGTCCTCAACAGCAGCTCTCTCCCCTCCATCCCATATTTGCTCCACATGAGTACCCCATGGGCCACTGGCATAAACCAAAGAAGAGGTCATTAGCACCTGCCAGGCTGCCCCTCCCCTGAAGATGTCCCTGTCTGAGGGTTCATCTGCCTCCATGAAGGTGTGAGGTAGTGCCCTGGGATTTCAGAGTTCAGTAGAAGAGTCAGAAATCCAGCTGCAGAGGCCTAGGAAGAGAGAGATAAAGAAGCCCAGACATGGAGAGACACATTCGAGAGCCGGAAGGAGCCGAGAGTGACGCTACCGAGCTTCAGGAGAAGTCACAGGCAAGAAGAAAGGCTTCTGCAAGGCCACCTCTCAGACCATTCTGACTGTGCAGAACTGTAATTAGGTCAATTCTGCCCTCCTGCTGGTCTTCTAGTTCAGGCCCAGCCTCCTGTAATAATTCCAGCCCAGTAGCCCCAGGAATCAGGGGCCTCCCAAGCTCACTAAATGGCCTAAGTACAGGGACAGAAGCTCCTGGTCAGCACCAAGGCTCTAACCCCTCCTTCCTATCAACCTTCCTTTCATCTGAAGCAGGGCCCCAGGCAGTCAGCTCAGCTCAGCAAAGCCCTGTGCCCACTTCAGTGTCCGCCCCCCCCGGTCCCCCCCCCCCGCCCCATCCCCTTCCTCAGCTCAGATCAGTTTCCAAAGGCAATGATGGGGAGGTGGCAGGCAGGGCCCGGAGAGGCTCTGGGATTAGCAGTGTCTTTCCCAGACTCGGCTTCTCCAGAATCAAAGAATTCCTCCGTCTGATCGGATTTACCCTAAGTCACAGGCGTGTGGGACCATCTTTCCCTCAGCAACAGCTGGAAACAGCCCTAAATATGATTAATTAATGCTGTTAAAAAGCCCTGGACACGATCAAGATTTATGTGTATGTGTGTGTGTGTGTGCACGCAAGTGTACATGCGTTGCAGGGGAGTGGGTTGTTGGGGGACTCAAGTAGGGGGAGCATGGGTGGATTACAAACCACCTCCAGAGCCCTCTGGGGGAGTGGAATGACATTTCCTCAGAGACATTCCTTTGACATCCATCCCAGGCAAGGGTCATTTTAGCCAGCCTCCAGCCTCCAGCTTTTGAGCAGATTAGCCCTTCTCTGTCCCAGGGGCATGGGGCTATTTTCTTTTCTTTTGAGATGGCGTTTCGCTCCTGTTGCAGTGGTGAGATCTCAGCTCAACGCAACCTCTGCCTCCTGGGTTCAAGCAATTCTCCTCCCTCAGCCTCCCGAGTAGCTGGGATTACAGGCATGTGCCACTGTGCCCCTCTGGGCAATTTTCTTTTCTCTCTTCTCTGGCCAGTGAGGGGAGTTGGGGATGGTTTTGAGGTTGGTGCCTCATCTCTCCTCTACCACAGCAGTATATTCTTCATCAAGCCTCAATTCCTCTTCAAGAGTGGTGGGTCACTCCAGGAATCAGGGACACATGCAGTCCCCCAACATAGATGCACTGACACAGGCAAAATGGGACTTAAAATAGGAACCTCAGAGGAATCTGAACAATTGAGTTGCCAGACAAACCTCCTGTCCTTGGAGGCAGCTCACTTTCATCCTCAAAGCCTCAGGTCTCCAAGACAAGACAGAAGTGTTTGGACTTTCTCCTCACCTCTACAATGACAAAACCTTATTTGATGGGCCCTCTACTGCCTCCTCGCCCACCCCCATGTACTCATTCTCTAACGTGGTGACATCCCAGCTTCGATAAGATGCTGGTGATGATCAACAGTATTTATAATCATGAAAAGGAAAGGGACAGGAGTGCAGAAAACTGCAGTGAATTATTCAGAAGTCAGTTATCAGGATCTTTGCAAGAGTCTTGAATTTAAATTTATTTTCTTCTGTTTATTGCAATTGTTTGATCTACTTCTGTTTTGCTGAAACAACTAAGCCTAGGAAGAGGTTTGCTTAGGTTCTAGCACTGATGGCCAAAGAGGAAATGTACCAGAAAGAGAAGGGAAAAGCCCCAGCCTCTATATCCTCTTTTGGGATCCCTCTGGGGTCAATGGCCTAAGTATCTAAGGCTTCTGCTTTATGGCATGGTCCCCCCAGGAGGTGTTGGGGATGTCTGGGTATTCCTTGGGAGAGGAGCTTCACATATCCTGGTGGAGTGATTAACAAACACAGATTAAATCACTGGGACTAAAGTTCAACTTCCTGATATCAAGGCTCAGTAGGACTAAGGGAGTGTATAGATTCCCCATGCCACTTGTCTCCATGAAGAGGAGAAGGGCAGAGATGAAATTTCAGTGACCTTTTCTAGGACCCTGAGATTTTAGGAGCATTTGTAGAATTCCTGAATTTTTAACTGGTGATTGAGTAGAGGAGCTAAGGCCCACTCCAGAGCTCCAGAGTGAAAGGTGTGCCTTAAAGAAGGGAAAAGGGAATCAATTTTCCCCAGAATCCCCATACAGGCTTATTGTGAGGATAAAAAAGCAGGAGGGTATGTCCTAGGGTCCCCAGATGCATGTGTGATTGTGCTACTGCAGGAGTCAGCTGTGCAGAGCACCCCCACCCCACAATTTCCACTTATACCCTTTGGGTTCTATAGAGTTCCACTCCTAACACCTCTCAGTCTGCTGGCTAGGATCAAATGTAGTATGTTTTTCCCAGCTTAACATCTGATACATCCTCTGTCTGAGGACAATATGGGTTTCTGGAGCAGTGGGATGGATGAAAAAGAAGCTTGCTCCATCCGCTCCTATGCATCAACCTGGTATTGCAGAACCTCCAGGAACTGTACATCACCAGGGGGCAAGGGAGAGTTCCCTTCCCAGAGAGAGAGGCAAGGGGACGAGATGGTGTGAGTAGCAGGGTTGAGTGCCAGTGAGCAAACAAGAAAGAGGAGGCAAGAGGTGGGAGGCTGGCAAGAGGTGGACAGGAAGATGGGCCACTCCCCTGTGTGTCCCTGAACTTTCCTTACAGATGCTCTGCTCCTTTGGGGCACGGCGTTGGTATACTTGCAGATGACTGTACATCCTCATGGGTCAGGGTTATCTACACGTGTGGTATGTCTTTACTCTGTGACAATGCTTTGTGACCATGTGGCTGAGGATACCTGTGTCAATAGAAAGAAGAACAAGAAACTAGGGGGTTGCCCATAGAGCACTTGGGTGTTTGGTTTGATGAGCACAGTGTTTAAAACAAACATGAAATTGAATACCTTTAGGAAAAATGTGCTTCTCAGGTATAGCCACAGACCCTGCCACTCTCTATTGCCTTTCTACTTCCTTCACTTATGTAATCTGCCTAGCACTAAAGTCTTGACTCTGTGATCTTTATTTATTTATTTTTGAAATGGGGTCTTGCTTTGTCGCCAGGCTGGAGTGCAGTGGTGTGGTCTCAGCTCACTGTAACCTCTGTCTCCTGGAAACCTCCGTCTCCCGGATTCAAGCGATTCTCCTGCCTCCAGAGTAACTGGGACTACAGGCATATGCCACCACACCTGATCAATTCTTTGTATTTTAATAGAGATGGGGTTTCACCTTGTTGGCCAGGCTGGTCTCAAACTCCTGACCCCAGATGACCTGCCTGCCTCGGCCTCCCAAAGTGCTGAGATTACAGGCGTGAGCCACCGCACCCGGCAGACTCTGTGAGCTCTTAAAGGAGATAGGCCCCTATTTGCCTATCAGTTAGCTTTTATTCATTAGCTTCCCTCAGAGATAATGGCTGGGGTCCGACTACCAGCTTCTCTGGGACTGAAGGGTACTGGAGGCTACTTTTTTTTCTTCGGAGTCAAAAACATCTGTATAAGGGAAGCAAATAAGTCCCAACCTTGAGAGGGGACTGAGAGCATACAGGTGATAATAGACTCCAGGTTGCCTCTGTGGGACTCCAAAACCCCTATTTTGCACACTGCCTCTTGCCTTCATCAAGTGGGTTCTGAGCTGAGGCTGAGATGTAAGAGCTAGAAGGAGAACAAGCACAGAGACCATGAGGCATACACTAGTTTCCAACTGTTATGTCCTGGACATGGGCTGCTGGAAAGGGATTTGGCCTGACACGCTGATGGGCTGGCCGTTGGGTAGACTGCTTGCTCAGACAGTCCATTGTGTGGCCTCTTAGGTAGGCAGAGCCCTCCTTCCTGCCCGGCATCATGTCACCACCCTGCCCATCCTCCGTCTCCCTGGGAGAAAGGGAAGTTTAGGGGCCCAAAGGAGGATCGATTCTATTTTGTTTTGAAAGCTTGGAAGAGTAAGCTGGAAACATGTGGGGCTTGGTTTGAGGTTGCGGATAGGCTGGCTCTTAGTGCCTGCTTCATCCTTGCAATCAGCTTTCCAGAACTCTCAGTGGAGCTTATAGAGTCGGGTTTCACCATGGGGGACCCATACTTACATCATATCTATTCCTGAGATGCCCCCACATAGGCAGCAGCATCTAAGGCAGGAATCCTGATATAAACCTTTTTTTGGATCCTAAGAAGCTTAGGATGGTGGTGGGAATGGAAGAAAGGGTGACTTTTGTAAGGGTGCTTTTTTTTTTTTTTTTTTTTTTTTTAAGACAGAATCTCACTCTATCACCAAGCTGGAGTGCAGTGGCGAAATCTCAGATCACTGCAACCTCCAACCTCCCAGGTTCAAGCGATTCCCCTGCCTCAGCCTCCTGAGTAGCTGGGACTACAGGCGTGCACCACCACACCCAGCTAATTTTTTTTTTTTTTTTTTTTTTTTTTTTTTTTTTTTTTTTTTTTTTTTGTATTTTAGTAGAAACAGGATTTCACCATGTTGGCCAGGATGGTCTCGATCTCCTGACCTCATGATCTGCTCACCTCGGCCCCGCAAAGTGCTGGAATTACAGGAATGAGCCACTGCGCCCAACCAGGAGCTAACCTTTAATAGCTGCTGTTTACTGAGTGTCAGATTTTGGGTTTTGGGTTTGTTTCTTTGATTTTTGTTTTTTGAGTTTCTTTCTTTTCTTTTTTGGTCATTTATTTTGTGCCATTGAACTGAGCCTTTTACTTACTTTATTTCATTAAATGTTTATAACCATTAGTGAGGTATTATTATCTCCTATTGCTCAGATAAGGAGATTGAGGCTCTAAGAGGTTAAAAACCAGTCCAAAACCACACAGCTATTAATTGGGGAATCTGGATGTTTCCACTCAAGGGCACTGTCTTCCTCAATCAAAACAAAACCTGAGGTCAGTGGGCAAGGTGGGGGTAGGGCAGGGTTACCAGACTTAGCAAATGCAAATACAGGATGCCCAATTAAATTTGAATTTCATACAAACAACAAATAGTTAAGTGTAAATACATCCCAATTAGTGCATGGGCTATCCTTATACTAAAAATCTGTTGTTTGTCTGAAATTCAAATTCAATCAGGTGCCCTGTATTTTATCTGGCACTTTTTGGCAGGAAGTGTGGACAGCCTAGCCCAGCTCTGCCTCGGTTTCCTAAGAGAGTCCTGAGAGGAACAGTCCTCAAGTAAGGGATGATCTGAGTGCAATTAGATTCTGCAGGCTGCCCTAACAGCCTTTTCTCCCTTCCTGAGTGTTGCTAGGAAAGGCAGGGCTTGAAGTCTGGGGTGCCCTGTCCAGCCTCCCAGGCTCTGTGCTGGGGATATCAGAGATCACATCCATTTACCAATCAAAAGGGATTTTTCATCCCGGTACTGGGCTGCTCAACAGACCAAGCAAACTGCTAGTGGTGCACCAGCACAGCAGGGATCTCTAAAAAAGAAATGAAAAATTAAAGAAAAAAATCGGCCGGGCATGGTGGTTCACGCCTGTAATCCAAGCACTTTGGAGGCCAAGGCGGGTGAATCACCTGAGGTCAGGAATTCAAGACCAGCCTGACCAAACATGGTGAAACCCCGTCTTCATCTAAAATATATATATATATTTTATTTTAAAAAAAGAAAGAAAGAAATCAAGACATTTGGTGGGACGCATTGGCTCATGCCTGTAATCCCAGCACTTTGGGAGGCAGAGTCTGGCGGATCGCCTCACTTCAGGAGTTCGAGACCAGACTGGCCAACATGTTGAAACCCTGTCTCTACTAAAAGTACAAAATTAGCCGGGCATGGTGGTGCAAGCGGGTGATCCTAGCTACTCGGGAGGCTGAGGCAGGAGAATCATTTGAACCCAGGAGGCGGAGGTTGCAGTCAGACGAGATTGCGCAGTTGCATTCCAGCCTGGGAAAAAAGAGCAAAACTCCATCTCAAAAACAAAACAAAACAAAAATTAAGACATTTGACATGTCAAAAAAAAAAAAAAAAGCGTCAAGTAGTCCGCATGGGAAAGAATGAAACCTTCCCGACATTCACTGTACGATTTAGCTCTGAATTATACAGTGCGGACGAGGGTGGGGTCAATTGTAAAATCTGGCCAAGGTTTAGGGAGGTCTAGCCCAGCTCTGCCTTTGGGGCTCCAGCTCCTCCTCTTTTCCCTTCCGGGGAGTCTAACTCTGGGCGGGCCAGAGAGGGGACAGATAGTGGGAGGGACTCCTCACCCCTAAATCGCTAAGTTCTCAAGTTTCCCGCTGCCCCACCCCATCAGGCCTCGGGCTGGACTCGGGCCCCAGGCGCTGCCGCGGCTCTCTCTCTCTCTTTCTGGTTCCTGGTCTCTGCCCTCCGCTGCTCAACGCCGCTCGGCTCCACCCCAGGCTCCATCGCCTGTTCCATCGCCGGCTTCCGATCCGCCTCTCGTTCTCTCTCCCGGCCCGGTGTGCTCAGCTTGCTCGGGGCGTCTCCCTACTGAAGAATTATGTTGCATAAAGCAGCCGCCACCATCTTGAACTGGCAGTGAACTTTGCTTTCTACATATAAATACAGATAGCAATCACACCCCAATCAGCGCAGAGGCTTCAGGGCATCATCTCAGCAACTCTAACTTTCCCATTACGATAATGTGATTTTCACTCAGTCTATAATATCACCAGCCATGAATAAAGCAACTGGCTCTTTCTGTCTCTCTCTTCCCTTCCCCTTTCTATGCCTCTCTCCCACCCACCTCAGTCTCCTTTCTTTTCCTCCTTCACACTCTCCTCTTCTGTCTCTCTCTGCAATCCCTCCTGGTGATCTCTGCGTCTCTGAGCACCTCCACCTTCCTCTCCCACTGCCTCTTTCTCCCCCTCGTTCTCTGTGACTCACATTCCCTAAATACTAATGGCAGGGATTTGCTGTACCCCATGGCTCAGTTAAGTTCTGCTCCCCAGCTCTGCCGTCATCTGCCTTTGCCTGAAGGTGAGAAACTGCTGGCTGGGGGTGGGGTGGCCAGCTAGGCTTTCCGGGAGGGTTCGGGAGCAGGGAGACTCTGCTCCTTCTCTCCTCTCGCCCTCTTTCCTTAGGTACCAGGATGGCTCTCTGTAGGGATTCCCTCCAGGAATGCCAAAGCCAGAGGCTTAGGGACCAAAGGACCCAGAAGGGAGATCTGAAAAATTCCTGCTTAGGGGCAGGTCCTGGAGGCTCTGATTTTCTGGGTATTGAGGGACCCAAACTCAACCAGATTCGAAATGCCAGACAATTGTGAGCAGATACAGCTGGTGAGAGGGTGCTCTGTAGATGCCTCCAGAAGAGAAACTGGTCCAGCCTCCTAGGGTCACTTCTGAGTACGGCTGGGTCCTGAGCCTGACAGCAGTTCAGGCTGGAGCTGCCTTTGTCAGGACAAAGGCCCACAGATCCTTGATCAAGGTGTCAGCCACTTTGTTGGAGCTCCTGGAAGGGGCTTCTCTTTCCTTCATGGACATTCTTCAGGTTGGTAGTGGTGCTGGCAGGGGAATTTCTGTGCCTCTGTATCCATTCCCCTGGGT